GCAACTGAAGTATTCTCTAGTAGGTAAATGAACAAATTGTGGTATGTCCAGATAATGGAATATGATTCAGCACTAAAAAGAAATGAACTGTTAAGTCATAAAAATACACAGAGAAAGCTTAAATAAGTACTAAGTGAAAAGGCCAGCCAGAAACAACCACGTGCTGTATGATTCCAATTATATGGCTTCCTGGACTAGGCAAAACTATGGAGATAGTAGAAAGTGCTTGCCAGGGTTTGGGGAGTGGGGGAAGAAGGATGAATAGGAAGAAGACTTTTTTCCTGTGAAACTATTCTGAATGGTGCTAATTAATAGGTGTACATCATTGTGTATTTATCACAACCCACAGAATGTAAAACATGAAGAGTAAACCTTCATGTAACAAATGGCCTTTGGGTGATTATGGTATTTCAGGGTAGGTTCATCAAATGTGACAAGTAAAGCACTTTGGTGGAGGATGTTGATAACAGTAAAGTCAGAGCCACTGTAGGAGTAGTGACATGTGTGATATTTCTGTACCTTCTGTTCATTTTTGCTGTGACTAGAACTGCTCTAAAAATAAAGTCTATTAAAAATAATTGGTAGGGAAATTTCAATGTAATACTGAAAATCATTTTCTAGTTTTTCAAGGTCTGTATCTTCATTTCAATATATTTAGTCATGGTGTAATTTTCCTTTACAATTTTTCCCTCCAAACAGGAATTTTTCCCAGTTTCCAGTTGTTACTACATATATTATCTTTGCACGCTTTACAGAGCTTAACACTAATGTGTATTTATTTATAGTACAAATTACTTTAACAACCCAGCTTAAGATTAATTTGAAAAGAAGGATGAATTCCAACATACACAAAACTATCATGCTTGTTTGTGGGAAGGTGACACTATTGCTGCCATTGGGAACTGTAGGTCCAAGGACAACAGCATGCAGACCAGTGTCCTGAGGATGATCATACACACGCACTCCCGCAGTGCTGTTGTACACTCAGCGGGGCCTAGACCTCAAACTAAGACTTAGGCCATGTGGGAGTTTGGATGTGGAATGGTCTCTACTCTTCCATGTGTCAAATGCGTGGTCCTAATTAGGTGCTACTAAGTGATTATGGAGCCTTAAAGAGACAGGGCCTAAAGGGTCTAACCTCAAAGGGCACAATGGGACAAAGGTCTCTTATTATTTCGATTCCCATCACAGTATGAGCAGCTTCTCTTGTCCCATGCCCCTGCCATGATATGCTGCTTCATCACAGGTCCAAAGCAATGTGGCCAACAAACCTGGACTGAAACAGCCAAAATAAACCCTTCCTCTTTATAAATTGATTATTTCAGTTATTTTGTTACAATAGCAGAAAGTTAATATGGGCCAAGTTGTTATTTTCTTTTTGGAAGGCGATCCATTGAATCTTTTCAAGTATTACTATTTCGTTAAATAGTACATCAGCTACAAATGAGGTACTTGCTCCTTTGACTGTGGCCTGTGTGCTTATAGCATTAATACAGTTTGTTGGAGATAAGCTAAGGCCCCATCTAGGGCTCTGAATTAGAATCTGTATTTTAATCAGGTCCCTTGATGACTGAAGTTTGAAAACCACAGATTCAGGCAGTGAAAATGAGACCTTCTGTCACTCTGTAGCTGTTCTGGGGACATGGTGTCAGTGGGTGTAATTGTCTCCTACTCTTACCCCAGGTTTGCGTGCTGAGGTGGAATCTGAAGGACCTCAGAATGTAATCTTATCTGGGGAGAACATCTGCACAGAGGGATTCAGGGCAAAATGAGGTCAACCTAATACGACTTGGGTCTTTATAAGAAATCTGGACACAGAGACACACATGTAGAGAGAAGGGGACACGAAGCAAAACATGGCTTAGACAAATCCTTCCCACCCTTCCAGTTATGTTGGTCTCTTGATTTCAGATTTCCAGCCTTGAGATCTAAGAGGCCACACCTTTCTCCTGTCTAAGCTGCCCAGGGTGTGGCACTTTGTTAGGCAGCCTGAGCAGACTACTACTCAGTTACGCTTCCGTGTTTTTAACTGACCACCTTTCCAGTTTTACGAACTAGGAATTTATGCCCTTATATTTGCTCAGAATACACTATTGTGTATTAAGGAAATGGAGAGGTTAACACACCTCTAGCCAAGAGGTATACTTTCAAGTGTGCCATCCACATGGATCCCAGAATTGGTAATACTTTATATGATAGCTGTAAGAGGTGAAGGGAACTTACTGATCTTACATTTTACATAAGGGAGAGGATCCAAGTGCAGTGAGAGATGTGTCCACTATTAACTGTCTAGTTAGTGGAGACCTAGGTTTTGCATCCACATCTCACAGCCTTAGTTCAGGGTCTCTGCTAGTATATCTGGCGTGCACAGCTTTTGGTAGCTGTAGATCTTAGAACAGAGTGTCTATGATAAGTTAGGTTATTTTACATGAAGCACATGGACTTTGCATCAAAGAGTTTTAATTATAAGACTATAAATATGTCAAAAGGATCTGACAACATCTTATTAAATTACAACAGTGAGCTCAAGTAGTTTCTGATGCTGGCTCAGCCCCAAGAATGAGTTTTATAGTCAGGACACATCCAGCCTTCATCTTCTCTCACCCTGCTTCTCCCTCTTTTTTGTTTTAATGACAGAAAGAAATATTGCATAAAAGTCATGTATAAATCAAATTGAAAAATATATAAGAAATATTTCATCCAAATTGTTTTCCTTCCTTTTATTGTTTTATTTCTTTGAAGAATGACAGGATTTAATCTCCAGAGACACCTCTTTGGAATTTTAAAGAGGAAAAAAAATTGTTTTTTGCGGTAAGACACTTAGTATGGCTGGGAGTTTAAGCTGTCTTTTCATTAAAAATAATATAGAGGTTTCGAATTTTCTTTTAAAAAGTTGGTAGAAAAGGAGGAAGTTCATAGAAATACCTGTCACATTAGCTGTCAGACTCCCAGGCAATCCTGGATCTATTAGTTGTAATGGTTCCAATGTGTGTTATGAAAAGTCTCAGTGACAACTGTGGGAGTCATGGCCCTTTTCTTTGGTAGCTGCTTTGGAAATCTAAGGATGCTACATCAGCTTTGGAAGTAGAATTCCCCTGATTTTATTTTACACCGATCACTCTGGGATCCAGGACATTGACTTATTAATGTTCTCCTAAAGATTTTGTCATATGCATATTTATTTATTTAATGGTGCAAGACCTCTGTCACTGAGACACCCCCTCCCCCAGCCTGTCACTTCTGAGTTCTTATCTTCACTCACCTGTGTCTGTCACCCTTTTAAGTATGTGTATCAATCACAATATAAAAAAGGTGCATGTACACAACCTTTACTGTTTGTAACAGAGGGAATTTAAGGCAAGGAATTGATTACACTAGTGACTGCAGAGCAGAGAAGCCAAATGTGAGACCAGAAGAGAACCCAGAGAGATTAGTACCAGCAAGAAAGCTCCTCCATCACTAAACTATATACACACACTACTGTTTTCTTTCATATGCAGGGACTCTTCCAGGACTTCAGGGGTTCATAAAGCAGAGGACACCTGCAGTAATCAGAAAGTGCTCTTGGCCTAAGCCAGGAGATGAATACAAACAGCTGGGTGGCAGTGGCTCAGAGAGGACTGGCGCTTCCTGGCCTCTGCGGGAATCCACTAAAGGATGGTGTCCGCCTACGTAAGCCCAAATGCCCAGGAAGCAACCCCAGCCGGGTGACATTTGGTGAAGAAGCACCTAAGATTCTCTTAGAAACTCTTGGCAGAGAGGCAGCCTTTCCTTTCAGGAAGCCAATGAGATACATTTATCCAGGAAGAAGGGGCACACATGAAAGCAGATTGCATTTCCAATGAATATCAGCACGTTTTTAACTCATTTGTAAAGCCTGGCGTGGTGGCGCACACCTGTAATCCCAGCACTCAGGAGGCTGAGGCAGGAAGATCATTGTGAGTCCGAGGCCAGCCTGAACTGTATAATGAAACCTTGTCTCCAAAAAAATAAAAATAAATAAATAAATAAATAAATTTAAAAAATAGATCACTGTAATGTGATGTCTTTAAATCTTTTGGGAATATACATAGAAACATAATATCTGGGTCAAATTCCTAGTTTTAGTTTTTTTGAGGAATCTCTAGTCTGATTTTCACAGTGGAAACCGATAAACAGATGAAGAAAATGTGTTATTTCCACACTATGGAGTACTACTGTATTATAGAGAATGATAAACTTGAGTTGTTTGTAGGAAATTGGATGTATCATGAGACCATAGTGTTAGGTAATTAGACATACAAATTTAAATACCACAGAATATCTCTTATATAAAAACTAAAATTATAAGTAAAGAGCAAAATAAAAGATAGATAATAGGAAATAGGGAGATAGAGCTTTCTTAAATGGGGAGGGGAGCAAAGGATGGAGTGAAGGGAACGGGATGAAAAACAGGAATTAAATTGTGCTATGTATGTGAACCAACTCCATACAAGGAATGTAAACATATACTGTAAACTTGTGGTATTCAAATAAATCAGTGGCAGGTCACACATTGCACACATACTCCTGACAGTGTTAACTCAAAGCCAAATGGCCAGGTTGGTAAAGCTCTGGAATATCTACAATCAGCTTCTTTTTCGTATCTCTCCCCTTCTGCGTGCTTTTCCCCTTACGTTTAGGAACTCATAGCCTAATACTCTCCTTCAGTCTTCACTTGGTAGTTCTTACTGACTAGAGAGGGACAGGTATATTGCTTACAAGTTAGAATAGGTTTAAATGAATGAGCCATCCTCATGCTTGCCCAATGTGTCTATACAATGAAACTGACTGCCACTGGCAAATATTTTGGGGAGAAAATATTAAAATTAGAGCATGAGAAATGACAAAAGACAAGAATATTTGGAAGTAGGTTGGATATAGAATTGTAAAAAATCAACACTCACATCACCGGTGTGAATAGTTAGGAAAAGTTTTTAGAATTCTAAAATAAAAAATGATTTTAAAATAGCACATATACATCAAGTCATAAGATAAAGTTTAATACATTTGATCACGTTAAGAGACACAAAATAGAGCAAATCTAACCAAATTTCAGGCATGCATTTACATAAATATATTAAATTAAGAAAAAAATTATACACTTAAACATCCTTTTTTCCTAAAAATCATTAAATCCACAGATCAACAATAAAACCGATTCTCTGCATTTACCACTTCAAGATACAATTGTTCTATTTTAAGATAACACAAATACACTTGTTAGAATTTATATGCATTATACATATATTATATATTACATAGATAGTGTGTATACATTTGTAGTGTTTGTACAGATAGATAAATATATATACATGGTTGTGTGCACACATACAGAGGCACACAGATGTACTTTAGGTCATCTGTACTATTACTGCTGGATTCTAACGAGCTGAGTTGGAGCTGATTGGAAATGAAATTGTCTTTTGCTTCAAACATGTTCATCATACTCACTGGATCACAACCTGTTCTTGTAAATGTCCTTGCTTTTCCTATAGCACATTATCATGCTAGGCACTTCAATACATGTTTTTGAGAATAAATGGATGGGAAGTTGAATAGCAGAAGATCAGTCAAAGAGAATTGCAGGTTTCATAACTTCTGGAAACAAATCAGATTCTTTTGAACTCAGAGGGGTAATGGGAGCCAATCAGTTTGTCCGTTCTTTCAGAATATTTACAGAAACTCTAATCAGTTCATATACCAACTGCTCCTTTGAAACTATACCTGATTTTACTAATTGTTTCTATGGTCTTCTGAGTCTTATTAACAGAAATCCATAGATCAGTTCTGAAATCTGTGAGTAATGTTGTGGACAAACAGCTTTAATTTTCAACAACCTCAAGGAAAGTGAACAATGAGGAAAACTAACATACGTTAGAAAAATGAAACAGGTATCTATTCTTTGAAACTGGGCAAAATTAATCACAAATAAAGCCAGAGAAGAAATGGTTTTCCTTTCAGTATTCTTTCATGCTCTTTAACTGTAACAATTCAGAAGTTTTTTCACGTTAATTAGATGTCTTTTAAAAATAAAGTACTGTAGTGTATCCTAGGGAATCAAGTTCCAAAAAAATTCAATAGTATAATTTATCTTGTTATTTCATGGTTCTTGGTGAAATGCATATTCAAACATATTCTGTGAATGATTAAGATAGGGGAAATATCTCATCCCTTAAGGTCCTCATCTTTCTTTCTATTTTTGTGCCACTCAGGATTAAACCCAGGAGCCTGTGTCTGTTAGGCAAGTGCTCTACTGCTAAGCTACATCCTCCACGCTTCTCAAGATTTCACTTTAATATAAGGTCTTACTGGGTAGCCTTGAACTTGTAATCTCCTGGCTCATCTAGCCTCTGAAGCAGCTAAGTGTGTGCCATTTATCCTGGCTGAACTCTTTATTCTAGGAAAGCCACATCTCCAATTTTAATATGAAGAAGCGTATAACATACATTTTAGCATAGACCACACCAAATCTGATCATACCTTATTCATGTGGATGGAAACTACTGCCTAGTTATTTTATTGCAGAAAGAAATGTACAAGAAGTGGTTTCTGTGAAGAAAACATTTAGCCACTATGTATTTCCCATCATTATTAATAATCAGTTTTTCCACACTAATTGTACTGTGCTAAGATACAGTATTTTTTACCTATGAGTAAAATCAATTGAGGTAATTCACTCTTTATGTATATTAACCTGCTTGTGTATATATTTACGTGTACTTTGGACTTAAGTATAAATATTGTACATATTTGCAAAAACCTTATATGAAAAATGACATTTGACTTCATGATGTACATGATAGAATTAGTGTTGAGTTAATGTTAGAATTGATGGCAGTGTTGGTACCAGAGTTTTTAAAATGTCACTGTTGTGTGACAACAACAAAAGCAAAAAACAGGTTTTAGGCATAAGGTTTTATGTCAATGCACAAAATTTATTATTTATTTTTAATTTTTTAAATTGATTGATATTTGATCTGTATAAGTATATGCGAAAGGAAATAATGGGTCTGTCTATCTTATAAGAAGTTCAAGGGAAATGTTCCTCTTACACATGAACAGACCTCTTCATAGCATCTAGGGAAATCATTGGCCCTAAGGAAACAGCTCTATTAGATTCCCATGACTATGCCTTATTCTCCTAACATTATTTGAGGAAAATTTCCTAAATGTATTCAGAGGAGCTGGAAGGAAGGGGGTGGCGGAGGCTGGTGTTTGGACGTTCCCATGGCCATGGCTCTGAACACTTCTATGTATAGTTTCCCACCTTCCTAGAAATCATCTTAATTGGAAGTATGATCAGTTTGTGTTGGTGTGCCAAAGAGAAAGAAGGTAAAATAGCAAGCATCTCTTTCAGAATTCTAAAGAGGAACTGTCTGGTGGCATTCCATCAGCACTCCCAGTAAGAGCCCTACCAGGTTTCTGGGAGTAATGCAGAAATATATACATTAGCTGGGCATGCATCTGAGTTCTCTTCAAGTTCAGATCTCATCCTGGGGTAGGGACAGAAGATTCTGAAGTGTTCACCGAGGAACTACTTATGTTTTTCCTCATAGATTCAGGAAAACAAAATTCTTCAGAGTAGAGTCCATAAAAATGGCTGACACTCGGGTAGGAAATAGCTACTACTGTTTCCTACTGTTGGTACAGGCCCTTGAGGAGCTGTCCTGGAGCAGACAGAATAATGGCATGGGAAGGCCTGGATTGACAGTCATATATGCTTTCATTATTTCCTTCAGTGACTTTAATAAATAGGCCTCGTATGTTGTCAATTATTTTTCATGATATTTTCAGCAAATGTGACACCAGAAGAAGATACTTTCCAAGAAAATAATCTATCTTAGCAGCAAAATCCACAGCTACGTGCCATTGGACATCTCCATTGCCAATGTACTGAGGACAAGTCTATTTACTCAAAACCAACAGAAAATAAATGAACAGAGGAGAGAGAAGGAAGAGGAAAGACTAAAAGGCAGGGAAAGAGAAAGAGCTAGACTGCGGTAGAAGGGGGAGACAATCCAAATGTCAGAGGCAACATTCTATACAGAGCCTCCAAATTTAATTTGTTAATCAGCCAGCTACAACTATACTTTTGTTGTTCCTTTTAAAAATGTAGACTTGGTTTCACTTTTATAGTTTAAGCTAATACTTAGGAAGTCAGACTAACAAAGGTTTAAATTAATGTGTACTTTGAAAGAACCTAGATGTGGCTTTTAACCCTATGACACTTGGTAGGGTTATTGTACAATTTGTTTCAGAGATCAAAACAGCATAAAAATATAGATTCAAATCATTCATTTTTGGTTCTGTGATTATCTTCAAATGAGAAAATAGGGAAGGAGCGAGTGCTCTGAGGCATGTGAATGGCAGAATTCTCTGGCTAGTTGACTCTGTGTGCGTGTTGCATGAATTTCTTCACTAATTTCATTATAGGATGACTCTAGCAATATGAGAAAATGTCTGAGTATCCTATGTGGTAAAATAGAAACCATATTTTACAATGGCTACAAGGAAACAAAATTCTAGGAAAAGATATTGATAGAAGCACTTTTGCCATTACATAGTTTTCTTTTTCTTTTTTTTTTTTTTTGTCTTTTTTTTCCTTTTTATCGGTACCGGGGATCAAACTCACGACTGCCTGCTTTCAAGGCAGGCACTTATGCCGCTGAGCTAAACCCCCAGCGCCTTACATAGTTTTCTTGGTCTTTCTTTACTTTCACATTAAAGATCTGTCAGTTCAGTTTTCATTTTATTATCTTAAATAACGGTCAAGAAATCAAGGTTCTATGAACCAGGACAAAAGTTTGGCAGAAACATGGCGGAAAGATTATCTGTTAACTAAAACCAGAGTAACATTTCACATGCAGTGGACTTCCAAATCTTAAGCTCTAGACTGGATAAATGGATAAAATTGCCTATTTTTTGTTTTACCTTTATCTAACGTATATGCATTCATATCAGGGACATTTTTCTTCCACTTTACATTATGTGCTTTATGAATTAGGCAGATTTTGTCTTTTATATGATGAAACAATAATTGTTCTTCTCATGCCTTTTTAGCCAATTCCTACCTGCCTCTCATCATGAATCACTGAAGATAATTTCCCAGTCAGGCATTTAAAAAACCGACTTGAAAGAAAGGGTCAAAGAGATTTTTTAATTGGCCACTTAGTTTAAAATATGTAGCCATCAATTACCATCGCCATCTCCTTTTTTTTCGGAGAACAGAAAAAGAAAATGACTCCAATGACTTCACCTTCTTTGCGCGTGTTTAATATCCATGGCTCTTGCTATCTTCCTTTTAGAAGAATTTGGCCTTTTATTCTAACAGCCCACAATAGGAAAGGCAGTGACACCTGGGGGACACATGCTTTTCTTTGTCACTTGATACTCACTCACTTGGGCAAGGGCTATATAAAAAAATGCTGGGTCTGGTCAATTTAATATAAATTACTTTGAATACCAGAATGAACGGCAATAGAACACCTTTTATTTGGGGAAAGAGATAGAAAGATTAAGGATGTAGGAAGAAACACTTGAGTTTTAAGATTTTACTGAATATACAGCAGAACCGTTACTGTTTTCAGTCAAAGTATAAATGGGAGAATGTGTAATAAAACTACACAATTTGACAGATTTAGACAGCTGGCTCCCTCACAAGAAGTTCACATTTTGTTAATGTCACCCACATTGAATAAGGGATGATTAGATGGTAAGTTCCATTTACAAAAATGGTTGTCAGGACATTTTTTTTTTTAATTGTAAAACTTTCTGTGATGGAATTCAGTAAAAGGGCTATGAAGAGAAAGCACTGGAGACAAAAGATTGCTATTAACCTACAGATGCAGGCTACTGCATGGTTCATTGCAAGATTTGTCACACTGCTGGGCCAATGAAGTGTTAGTGAGCCTAGAAGGGACCACCCCTTTTCTGGGGTAAGAGGGCAATTTGGTCTCCATGCTCATTTAATCCTGAGACTTCTTTGAATAGACTGTCAATTGAAGCTAAATTGTGCAAAATTATGCATGCACTTTTTAATGCAGGCTATTGTTCACTAAGCACTGAACCAAGATTTCTCAACCCATTTCCATTTGGCATGAGGTCACTTGAAACTTAGGTAATCAAATATGGAAGACAAGAGCAGAGTACTTAACCAATCTTTTTTTTTACATTATAGTTTCTATATAAACACACTCTGCTTTCATTTCAAATCTCTCTTTCGAACAATAGAGAAATACTGGCTACCAGATTTTAAAAATTATTTAATTGAGGCTCATATTCTTAAGGGGAAGTTTGGAAAGTCAGTCAGTGCTGCATAAACTACACCATTCTACAATTTAGATTCTGGATGCTTACAGGACAACTAGAGTGGGTGTGCTCTTGTTGTGAGTAGAGGTGTCTTTTCAGCAGTGCAAAGAGGCCTTATAATTTTGTTAACATCCAAATATGTGAGCAGTGGCCAAAACCATTAAGAAAAAGGTCTACCAGACTCTTGGCAGTTGTAAGTTAGAACAATGTCATCTCTTAAAAACCTGAGTGAATTTTTACAGAAAATTTATTGATACATTAACCAAATAGTATTTTCATTGAGTTCTGAAGGAGCATATACATTAAAAGTCATATTCAGCAAGAGTTATATTAAAATTTTGTACAAGTGACGGCTTATACAACCAAGCTTGGATAAAAACGAATGAGCTCTTCTCCGTGAGTTTTTGATTCAGTGTGAAATATGCAACATTCTAAGCACATATACTCTGACAGTCTTGCTATGGTGAAAGGCATTTTACAAATGTTTAATGCTGGAATTTTATGGGAATTGGCTGTTTTCTCGCTTTCTCATCCGTCATTAACGATTACGTGTTGGCAAAAGGAGACACACTGCTAGATTAGATCCACAGCACATTAAAGACTGTTTGTTTTCTCACTCCCCTTCTTTAAAATTAAGTTGGTGAAAAATGTAACTTTAGTATTTTACAGGACAGGTTAAAGGTGTTTCATCTAGGTGATGTCTATATTATAAAAATAAAATAAAAAATATAAATATGTAACACAAACCCAGTGCCTATTGTTAAATAAAATATACAATAAAAGCAGACCTTTCAGGAAGATTGATTTTAAAATATGCTGTTATGATTTAATTATAAAACATTTAAAAACAATCTTGAGATTAGGCTGAAGTAACCAGATCGCCCTGCCAAATAAAAAGGTAAGTGCATAACATTCTGTAATTGAATACATTGATAAAAATGAAGATTACAACTTTGTATCAGGTTGCTCATTTAGAAATTCATCAGGGAGTTCTGAAACATTCTCTCATATAGTCCTTTAATATAAAAATATTGCTTTTTCTTTTATTAGATCCATCAGATTGCACAGTAGTGTTTCAAAACTCCATTAACGTTGATTTTAGTAGTTACAGACAGAAAATTCTTGGGAAGTCAAATAATCTCTTCTGGAAACATAAAAATTCTATTATCAGTTTACAATGGAACTTTTGTGTAAATAACTCTGCACAATGAAGTACATAGATTTCTAGAATCCACTTTTTCAACCACACCTATAGGGGTCGTGAGTGTGGGTGTGTACGTGTGTATGTGAACAGACATGCCAACATACACATAAAGGATCTGTACATTTTGGTAAATTATTTTTAAATTAATAAAGGAAAATGAAATCACAGGAGTGTGTAACAGGATAGCAGTCTTTTTTTAATGACAGGATAAAAAATAAATGCCCACTGGAAGGAATACTCAAACAGTCCCAGAAACTATACAATGTAACTTGTTAGATCCAGCAAATAAGATGTCATGTCAATGATCTGATCAAGAATACCTGCCCTGGTCACTCTGCGGATGTTTCTGTCCACTTGTTCACACTGAAGACCAAGATATCCTTTTTTACAGAGGCACTTGTTCGGTCTAACACAGACACCTCCATGATGACATGCTGGCTCGCATTTTGCTGGGAGAAAAAAAAAGAGCAGCAATATCATACTCTCATTCTGTACATCAGAAAGTGTGGAGTAGAAGACCCTCAAATAATTGATGAATAAGGGAAGGCAGGGAAAGAAAAGAAAGACAATCATAGAATAATCTGATAACTAGGAAAGGTTTCAGACTCGTAGCTACTTGGGGGCCAGAATTCAGCAGGCAGTGAGAGACATTTGTAGAGAAGCAGAAATCATGAGATCATTTCATGATCATGAGACAATTTCAATGATTTTCAAGATTAACTCTATTTAACACAAAGATTTCATTATAGTCAAATTTTTCCTCCATACAGACATTTCAACAGAATCCTATTCCTGCAGGGTAGGATCTCAATGGGGAAGCGTCTAGCCTAGAGGAAGAGGCCAGGTAAGGACAGCTTGGGGTTTGAGTGGGATGGACTGTCTTCCACATGGCCTTCCTCAGGCTTCGGGAGCCCAACACATTCTTCACCTTAATTACAATACATTTCAGAGTCCATTCCTGGGATGAGTGCAATTAGCCAGCGAGGAACGTTCTGAATGATCTTTCTGGGTCACTCCACAGGATGGAGTTTCTTTATTAAAGAATTTTTACTAAGATAATATAGGTGGAGAACATAACGATTTACTGCTAAAATGAGACAGAAGCACAGAATCTGATAGGGAACTTGATTGCAATTTGCTGATTAGATAAATTTGCAGGGTGTAGCCATTGCAGGCAGAATCAAATACCTTGAGTACTTTGCCTTATATTTTGAGGGGTCAGGGTCATTTTCACCTTTTCAAATGCATTTTCCAGGGGTCTGTGGCTGACACATGGAAAAGAAAGAATAAGAATTTTCTCATTTAAATTTGTGGGAGATGATTAAATCATGTAGGTATATAAATAAAATTCTTGATTGGGTCAAAAATATTCCAGATAGATTACTTCCATAAAGTAGCTGACTTCTGTTATATATTAGAACTATTTAAATTTAATAGAAAGATGGAAGTAACTTTACTGAAATAAAACTTGAGGATAATTTAAAGAATGCATATTTCTGCTTACATCACATATTACTATTTATTAAGATATGCATAATTCCACCAGTATGCACAATAAATTTGCCATCATTTTAAACATGTTATCACTAGAAGGAACTCTATAAATATTTGCTATTGATGACCTAAATGACATAAAAGGTAAGGCAAAATATAAGTAAAGAATCTAACAAAGTAGATGCTATACAAAAGAAACAGGGAGATATTGTCAGGTATCAAGGGAAGCAAAAGGAAATATATTATCATGAATTTGAATATCATTAATTGGAAAATTGATTCTTATTTATTGGTCAACTAACAAAAAGAGACACAGACTGAATCAATACATTGTAAGCAGCTGTTTTAAATAATATAATTACTTAATTTCTGCTGAGTATAAATTGATCCCTTTTTTCTGGATCTGCAATCATGGTATTAATTAATCACATAATATAAATATCATTAGATTTCTGAAACAATTTAAGGGTAAAATGTAAACTACAAAAGTGACTCTACATGTTAGTTATTTTTGTGAGACAACATATAAAGTAGGCAATTATGGTTCTAATTTTTAAAACAAATACATCCAGAATAAAAATGCAGTATTTATGAATCAAGAACATTATTAAGTATTAATATTACTTAAAGCTTTACTTTTCATTGGCAAGAGCTACCTTAATATACAAAACAGCAGAGGTCAAAACTTTTTCTAAGAAAGATGCTTAAATAAGCTGATTGTTGAATATGCATCTTTAAACATAATACTTGAAACTCTAGGTTTCTAAATTTATCCCATTTTCTCACTTCACATCAAATACAACTTAAACATCATTGCACAAAATTGAGGAAATCTCACGTTCAAGGATAGAATAACCCTGAATAAAAATCTCCTTTGCTTTCTCAACAGCTGCACACCAAGCTGATGATTCACAGGGGAGCAGCAAACAGAATTAAAAGGTCTCATAATATGACTCTAGATAATTGCATTTTCCCTTTTATTTAGTAACACTCACTGAAAAACTCTGTTTTTAGTGTGCTGTAGCAAGAAAGCAGGCAGTAAAGCTGGGAGGGCATTTATGGGGTGTTTGGTTAAATGCTTGGACAGGGGAGGGGGGTGGCAAACACTAAGTCACTGGCTGGTGTGTTGGTGTGTGCAGGGGTGGGCACCCCATAGAGAGGCCCTAGCTGAGCTGTTCTTTCTCTGTCTCTTTTTGAAAGGTCTCAGTCACTTAAAGTTCTTTTATATTTATGATTAACAAATATATGTGAATATTTGGCATTAAGCAAATGCAAAAGACTTAATTTAGAAGTTCAGAAACAGATGAGCACTATTATTGCAAAGGCTAAATGTTTTGAACACAAGATGATGCTAGACCAGGGCTGCTATGTTATAGAGTACCTAAGAGCTGTCCCATGCCTAGTCTCTCTGTGACCACAGAGATACTAACCGATTCTGCAGAAGTCTCCCTCCCAGCCTGGACTGCAGCAGCAGGTGCCCGTTGGGGTGCAGTAGCCGTTCCGACAGAGCCGGGCACACTCCGAGCTCAGGGTCTGTGCAGGTTGTACTGTGGCTCTGCACTCCTCAGGCAGTAAAGGTCTGCACCAAAAACAACAGTTGAAATCATACATTAGTTGGAAATTAGTACCAGAATGAAATCTAGCAAGTCTGTAGCTTACAAATTATGCCTCTACCCAAAGACATCCTTCTTCTAAAGAACTCAGCCAATTTACAAACTTAAAAAAAATACCTACCAGGAAGGAAATGAACTAATCAGTTTTGAATCAAAGTAGTTGATCAGTTTGACAATATCAGAGGATTGATAGCATTCCTCAAAATCACCGCTTCCCTCTCCAAAGCTTGGAAATCAAGTTTTGCTTTCCTTTTATATTTCTTTTGAGGTAATTTTTTTATAGGATTTTTCCTCATAAGATTATATGTGTGTGTGTTATATATGTGCATGCATTTGTAATACTGAGTCAAAGATTAAACTCTTCATGCAAAAAAATATATAATGGATATTTTATGCATATGTATGTCAAAACCAAATTATGATGTATAAAATCTGATTTTACCTTGTTAGGAAAAAAAAGAATGCTAATAGTAGCAAATTAAAACATCTTTTTTGCAAGGCAAAAATTCATAGGTTTTTTTTTTTTAATTGTTCTACCACTGCTATTACTTATAGAGGAAACCAAGAAGCCTTGAGATGTCTAAGGTTCTTCTGGTTTGTAATGTTGTCACTAAAGTCAGGGTGGGGAGTCAGGCTGGTCCAATGGACCCAACTGCTCATTGCCTCATCTTTGGGGAGGAAAATATGTGTAGTGCTTTCCTATTAGTGTAGTACCTGGGCCAGAGGCTGCTGAGAAAGCTCTTGCACTGAAGGAATGTAAACAAATGTCACCATCAGTCAAGTCACCTGCAACAGGATGACCCAAACAGTTGGGACCCTCAAGAATCACAACAAAGAAAGTGATCATTACAGGTCAAACCACCACAAAAAGTAAATTATTGAGCTTTCTGAGATAAGCAAGTAAGCCCAGAGGCTCACTTTCTTGAGATTGGTTGCCTTTTATGTCCTTATGGCAATATGAACAGTGGTAATAACTTAAGTCCTGTCTTCAGGCTGTTTCTATGATGACTTAAACCTGTTTATGTTAAAAACCAAAATATTAAAAATGTATAGCAACTTCTTCCGCTCCTCCCTCTAATGAAAGTCCCACTCTGCCATGAAAACACCATGTTTTGCAACTCATGCAGGAATTCACAGAACTCGCTTCAATTTCTCAGCCTTCTCTTTAAATCTGGAAATGGTCAATTTATGTGAAACATCCTTAAGGGATTCCATGGACTGAATACATTCCTATTCAGAAAATATTAACAAATATTTTCCATATGTTTCCCAAGGGAGTCTTTCTGGGAATAAGCATGGTGTGGAATAAAGCAGAGAAAATATTAAATGGTTATGCCAAGAAAAGTGAAGACATAATCTTCTGTGTCTTCGTGCTAATGTTGATCTTCTCGTGTCTGATGTTTCTTCCTCATCTAACATTCTTGCTTTGATTGTTACACAATGGTAGTATTTCTTTTATTTCTTTCTCTTTTCTTTGAGACAGGGTCTTGCTATGCAGTTCAGGCTGGCCTTGAACTCCAGGCAGTCCTCCTGCCGCAGCCTCCTGAGTGCTGGGACTACAGGTGTGCACTGCCAGGCCTGCTCATGATGGTATCCTAGCTACCAGAGAAGCAGTTTTTTAGCATCTGGAAAGTTTTGTGGATCACAAGTAACAATCGTTTATTAAGTGGCAGGCAGTACATGGGTATTGTTCTAATCTTAAGGGTGACCAAAACTGTAGACTTTTATGTCATCATTCGTTTACTTTTTGTGACTCACACACACACACACAATCCAAACACACAGTATATCCAAAATACATTACAAAATGTAAGTGATGCAAAATATGCAGGTATACAAGTCACACAGTACTCCACAAGATGGTTTATGCTTAAGCAGATAAATATAAAGAGAGGATGTCCTATAGATCAAGAATGTAATTGGACATGGTGGCACATGCCAGTAATCCCAGCACTTTCTGAGGGTGAGGTGGGAACTTCAAAAGGCTGAGTACAGCCTGGGCAACTGAGCAACACTTGGTCTCAAAACAACGGGCAGCAGCTAAAACGTGCTGCCTGTTTGAAGTAATGGATAAGGACATTGGTTCTTGTGCACTAGGAAGAGAAATGAAAATATGACACTTCTATAGGTTAGAGGGTCTGACCAATTGATCCTCCAATTAGGTGCTTTGACTTTTTCACAGCACATATAAATATACAGAAACTGAGATTAAAAAGACAATTCTAAGTTTCTTTTTAACAAAGCAAATTTATGCCTATTTGTGGAAGTAATTCTTTCACATATAGACATGATTTTCTCAAAGTCTAATATAAATATCTGGAGAAATGATCTTTTTTCTGTTACATATTTAGTAACCAATATTCCTCATTTAGTAAGTTAAATAAACCTCCCCCCTCTTTTAAACTGCATTCCAGTGGGGCTCCCTTAACAAGAAAATTCATTAAAAAACTGCCTGTCTCTTAAAGGACTTCACTTCTCCTGAAGAACGAGTTAATCTATCTTCCTTTTCCATTCTCGGAACAGAAATGACATACGCTTCAAGTCAATCATTTTCTCAAGCAAGTTCCACGCCCTTTTTGTGTAAGACATGAATAAAACGGGGCCCTGAATAAAATGGGTCACCTCACGGAGACCATGGATGAGGACAGATATGGAAAGACAAGAATGTAATGCAATGTGATCACTGTTATGATACAGGAGCACATGGCATGTCAGGAATACAGAGCAGGGAGCGATTCATTTAGGACTGAGAGAGAAATCTCTCTGTGTCCATAGTTTAGAACTAGAAGTAATTGAGGATATAATACTTGGTGACTTCTCAATGATATTATGAAAGATGACATTAGGACCAAGGAAAATATTACATAGAGTATCAGTTAATGCTCTTAAATTAAACTGGTGTACAGAGTAGTAACTTTCTTAAATAAATTCCATGAAGACAATTATTTCGTCTCTTCTCTGCATCTCCCTACGACCTAGAAAACATGTAGCCTACGTAAGATGTCTGTTGGATGAAGTAAAATAAAAAGAATATGGAATTTTAAAAAGTGTTTGCTTCTTTTCTATATTATTGGGTAAAATATTAGGAATAATATATGGTCTACTAGTGGAAGAATATCATTAAAATATAGTTGCTATACTTTTATGTAATAAATGTAAAGCTAAAAGCACTTGCTATATTTCCAGTGTCTACATTAACTCAATTATTCCAAATTTTGTCTAAAGCCTAAGTTCATTATCAATGATGTATTTTTATACTAACTGTAAATCTAGTATGTAAAAAGAGAATAAAAAAGTCAATGTAAGCATGACCTAAAGATCTATGACTATTTTCTTCTCCAAATCAGAATTACAGTCAACACATTTAAATTCACTTCTCTAGTAAAATATTTGCTAAAGTCTGATAAAGGCCTTTAGTGATCCCAACCATTCCTTTTCACAGGATGTTTGTTATGGTGAATTCTGTCCTTCCACTAAAAAGTGAGTAGGACCCCTTCACGTGGAGTGAGGAGAAAAGGGTATGAACCAATGTTCTTCAACTTCATCATTAAGCATACATAATACAATCTATCTATCTATCTGTTTATCTACCAGTCATCTATTTGAGTGGAATCTAAACAAAAATCTAGACTATGTAGTTTGGACAATTGATTTCTTTTTTGGTGGGTGGGCAGAGAGGGGAGACCAGGCATTGAGCTCAGGACTTTGCCCTTGCCAGGTAATTTATTTTCATATGCACTTTTAATGCACAGACAACTGTGTATTAAATTGGGTGTATTATCTAAAATACTCATTCAATAGTCTTTCTCTTCTCTTAAACAAATACTTCTAAAACCATGAGAACATTAACTTTACTGAATAAAGTCAGAAGTACTTTCAAAGTAGAGAACTTGATAAGGAATGTATCTAGCCAAGTGTGGCAGTACACATCTATAATCTTAGCATTCTGGAAGACTGAGGCAGGTGCCATGCACCTGGGCAATATAGTGACTATAATGAGAGCCTGTCTCAAAATAAAAAATACAAGAAGATGAGGATGTAGATCAATACAAGGGCCTTTCATTCAATCCCAGGACTGACCGAGAAGAGCTTACTTGTCAACAATTGTCCCACAGCTCTTAAACTGAAAGCTGAATCAGGAACAAACATATTTCCTAATCTTTTCAGATGCCAAATAATGAAGCACTGAGGGTCTAGTACAGAAAATTGCCTAACATTCCATTCCTTAATATATGAGGTGTTGTTTTCGGAAACTTAGGACGTTTTCTTAGAAACCTTTTTTGGGTGGCTTTGGGTACTGCTGCAGAGGTTTGGATACTCTCTTGAAACAGAGAAAAGCTAGGAAGCATGAGGAATTGCACACATACATGATGACTTTTGGTGACTAGGAAGGGCCAACAATGAATGTCTCTAGATAGCAGGACTTTGGGTGGCTTTCATTTAATGACACTTAATTTTAAAATGAACAAATAAATCAGTAAATGAGAAGTCTTCTGCAAATTTGGGTGAAGTCCTGCGATAAACCCCATCTCAACTGCTTGGCCCTTCAGGGTAAGGAATGCTGAGACTTTATTTTGTCTTTCACAAAAAATACTGAAATTATTAAGTATCCAGATTTCAAATTCATTTTATTGTAAAAACCAGACATAGGTCACAAGTAATTTATAAATGCTGGCTCACTGGAGGTATTAGAAACTGGAATAATGCTATTGCCTCCCCTAGCGACCTCTAAAAGAGGAGGGTGATGTAAAACTGCCTTCTTCCTTTCTCCACAGCCAGGGGGGATACATGGAAAAGTGTTTCCTGCAACTGCAACATTTATGAAGCAAATTTTTCCTCCATGATTTCTTTACATTCTTATGAGTGAGGAAAAACCAGTTGAGTCTAAATCCTCATTACTTATGGTGTCTAGGAGTGTTCTCTGGGATTTTCTCAGAAATGCAGAATCTCAGGCCCTAGTTTGTCA